CACCTTGGGAGAGGAGAGAAGTCATCGGTTCGTCCCAAGCCCAAGCGTCTACCTGCACAACATAGACTCGACTCCCTTCGTTCCATATTAAGTGTCGTGACGGGGAGTAGAGAAATTTTGTACTAAATCAACAACACTTAATTTGAAATAAAGCGAGTAAGGAGGCTTCAACATGTTAATGCCTACCCTCTAAAAATTATTATTTTTCTCTGCTACTACCTAGCCCATCTACACATGGACAACTTCACGTGCAGAAATAGAAAATTTTGATTCTGGGTGCATTCGAAACGGAGATAGTAGCTAGCCAACCAACTCGCCTACCTCACATGTTTGTCATGCATGAGAAACTAGCCGTATTTGACCTTCCCTTGCTACTACATTAGCATACAAAAGTATCTATTTCAGGCCTAAAAAATAACTCCGATAGAATAAAATGGCTATCTTACAGAATAAAATTTCATTTTACTTTAAAAATCCCAAACAATTTCGATAAACGGCATATATTCGCAGTAGTATTTACAAAACTTTGGGCTTATTTAGACAATACGATTAGAAGGAAATGACCATCTTATTGAACAGCTCCAAAGTTTGGTGAAGAATAGAGTCCGGTTTACTAAATCAATTTTAAGCAGGCTCTCTTTTTTTTGTGGGGAGGGGCTAAAAAAATAGGGTTCCTCTGCCTCCCGCCAGCGCCGCCATTGGTCCGCCTCATCAGTGGCCTTAGGGCCATGGGGCGCGGTGTATCCCGACCCTTGGTGAGTTTTTATATGTGTTTTTGAGTTTTGTAGGATTTCTGTCCTGCTCAGAAAGACGAGACGGCGGCATCTCCCTGAAGATGGAATAACGTTCTCCCCGCCTAGCCCCCATAACGGTGGTGCATCTAGCATCATCGGCGGGCGTGTGGAGGTGTATCTTCGACGGATCTGTCTTTGGTGGATTTGCTTGAATCAGTTCGTCGTTCGTCTCCTTCGTGTGTCTTTATGTTGGATCCTTCCGATCTACACTACTCTTTATCGGCGGCGATTGTTGTTCTAGTGTGCTGGTCCTATAGGGCGTTAGCACGACAACTTTCCGACTGTCCACTAGGACAAGTTCTGCCCGCTCCGGTGAAGGAGGGGCGATGACGATGGGGCATCTTCGGTTCGCTTCATTGCTTCTGGTCGTCGCTAGGTGGTTTATGAATTTGAATATAATTTTTATTATTTCTGGTGTTCGTTATACTATCATATTTGGAGATAAATAGATTGGATGTTTTCCTGTAAAAGAAATTCAATTTTAAGCCCACCCTCTATTTTCTGGCCGATGGACCAAGAACACGATCCACAATCGACTGACAGGTAGGCCCCATGACTTAGGAAGATTAACAAAAATAAAAAATCGAACATGCAGGCTGCGAAGTCATACCTCTCCCCTTTGGACCAGGGCCAATCTTTGAACTGTCTGTGCATGCATACCACTCGTCCTATCGCGCATCTGCCTGCAGCGCGCGCCACCTCAGCTACGTACTCCCTCCCGCATGCGCAACCACAGCAACTGCCATCTCTCTGTGACAATAAATCCTTGCTCGCTCCCTTCCCTCGGCTTCCGTTTCCTCAAAAGAGTACCCTCCAGATCCACTGGACAGAGACCCTCTCCCCAAGGGTGGCGCCTGGCTCAGTCCGAGAGAAGAAGGCCTAGATCCAGTGGCCTAGGTGGAATAATTCTGGGAGAAGAAGATGGTGACCATGAAGTTGGGTTCCAAGCCAGACATCTTCGTCCTCGAGGGCCTCACATGGTTATCCCCCTTCCTCATTTCATATACTCCTAGCTGATTACTCATCTCCCTCGGTTGATTTTTCTAACGTGCGCGCTGCACTTCGAGATGCATAATTGTTCTCAAGGTTTGACCAAACATAGTTTGGTACATGTGAATCTTTCTGTAGGCACAACTGGTTCCATTTTTTCTTGTGGGTTTCTATATCATCATGCTCAGTTCAAAGATTTTTTTTTCTATTTTTCACCTTCCCTCATAGTTTCAAGACCATAGTTTCCACTGTTAGAGGAGATGACAAAAACACTCCTCCTCTCCATGTCTAGGCGGCTCAATATGAGATGCGGATATCGATTGTGCAGAAAATGTAATGCCCATTGTAAGGCAAGTTCCATTGGCGAATCAAGTCCAATCTTATGCATGCGCTGAAGAAATTCCCGCGCGCCACAAAATACATCGTATAGGTTTATCCCATTCAGTATCGTTTGTTTCGATCTATAAGATCCGATATACTCCCTCCGTCCGGAAATACTTATCATCAAAATGAATGAAAATTGATGTATCTAGAACTAAAATACATCAAAATGAATGAAAATGGAATACTTCTCAGTCATGGTTTCTAAGATCACGAGCGCGCATGGAAATTTGATGAGAATTTCAGATGTTTACGTGATCCATCCATCTGGACTCTTCTCCAGGAGATGCATGACCGAGCTCGAGAGCGATGTCGTCGTCGAAGTCGGAGACATGTCCTTTTATCTCCACAAGGTTAGCACGATCGAGTGTGTCGCCGTCACATTTTTTCGCATTCATCAACTGAACCGTATAAAACCGATCGATTGCGCGTGTTAATGTGACTGACTAATGGTGCGTCGATCAACATTCTGAGTATGCAGTTCCCGCTGCTGAGCCGGAGCGGCGTGCTGCAGCGTCTGATCAGCGAGTACCAGCCGCCGTCCGACGGCGGCGGCGGCATGTGCACGCTGCAGCTGGACGACATCCCGGGCGGCGCCAAAGCGTTCGAGCTGGCGGCGCGCTTCTGCTACGACGTCAAGATCGAGCTCAACGCGCTCAACGTGGTGTGCCTCCGGTGCGCCGCCGAATACCTGGGCATGACGGACGACTACGCGGAGGGCAACCTGATCGCGCAGGCCGAGTCGTTCCTCGCCGACGTGCTCGCCAACTGGAAGGACTCCGTCAGGGCGCTGGAGACCTGCGAGGGCGTGCTCCCCGCCGCCGAGGACCTCCACATCGTCCCCCGCTGCATCACCGCGCTCGCCTCCAAGGCCTGCGCCTCCGACGCCGCCGCCTGGTCCACCCACGGCGCCAAGAACGCCAGCGTCGACGGGGACGCGCTCTGGAACGGCATCGGCTCGGGCGACACGCCGCGCGGCGCGGCTGCCGCCGCCTCGGCCATGGACTGGTGGTACGAGGACGTGTCGCTCCTGAGCCTGCCCATGTTCAAGCGGCTGATCCAGGCGATGGAGGCCAAGAGCATGCGCGCCGAGAGCATCGCCGGCGCCATCATGTTCTACGCGGGGCGGCTCCTCCCGGGCCTGAATCGCAGCGCCAGCTTCAGCAACGTCAGCTTCGCGGACTACGGCGGCGGCGCCGGCAGCCGTAGCGCCACCCCGCGCTCCGCCACCGCCAGCCTCTCCGGGACGTCCGACGGCGACCAGAGGTACTTCCTGGAGGAGATCATTGCTCTGCTGCCGACCAAGAAGGGCGTCACATCCACCAAGTTCCTGCTCGGGCTGCTCCGCACGGCCATGCTCCTCCACGCCAGCCCGCTGTGCCGGGAGAACCTGGAGCGGCGCATCGGCGCGCAGCTGGAGGACGCCAGCCTCGAGGACCTGCTCGTGCCCAACCTCGGCTACACCGTGGACACGCTGTACGACATCGACTGCGTGCAGAGGATACTGGACTACTTCATGTCGTCCATGGACGGGCTGGGGACCGGGTACACGTCGCCGGCGCTGGCCGAGGAGGGCAGCCAGCTGGGGCTGCCCCACGCCGCGACGCCGCCCGCCGTGGCTCCGATCGCCATGGTGGCCAAGCTCATGGACGGGTACCTCGCGGAGGTGGCGCCGGACACCAACCTGAAGCTGCCCAAGTTCCAGGCGCTCGCCGCCGTGGTGCCCGACTACGCGCGGACCGTCGATGACGGCATCTACCGCGCCATGGACATATACCTCAAGGTGACAACTGACAAGTGACAAACACGGCGATCGGTTTGATGCGTCAGTGTTGCTAACATCTGAGTTGCGTGCATGCAGTCGCACCCGTGGCTGTCGGAGTCGGAGCGGGAGCAGCTGTGCCGGCTGATGAACTGCCAGAAGCTGTCGCTGGAGGCGTGCACGCACGCGGCGCAGAACGAGCGGCTGCCGCTGCGGGTGGTGGTGCAGGTGCTCTTCTTCGAGCAGCTCCGCCTCCGCACCTCCATCGCCGGGTGGTTCTTCGTGTCGGACAACGCCGCCACGGCCACCGACGGCGCGCACCTGCACCACCCCGGCAACGCCGGCGCCATCGTCCCCAAGGGCAGTGCCGTCGTGGACAGGACGAGGACGTGGTGATGGTCACGCCCGAGGGGAAGGGAAGCGAGACCATGAGCAACGTGAAGGCGCGGGTGTCGGAGCTGGAGAAGGAGTGCATGAGCATGAAGCAGGAGATCCGGCGGCTCGGGAAGCCCCGGAGGTCGTGGAGCATCCTCACCAGGAAGTGCGGCTTCGGAGCCAAGGTGCAGCAGGCGCAGACTGCCATGAGCGGCAAATAGAGAGAGGCGCCCCAAAAAGTAGAGTATGAAATCTCAGCTAACGACAGAGTTAGTAGATTCGTCTCCCATTTTCATTTGTTTAAAGGTAGTAATGGCTATATTTAACGGACTAGATATATAGTGTAATGTAATGCAATAAGGTGCTTCAGCTCTGCATGGGGCGAAATAAACTAGTTTTAGCACTTCACATACATAACCATAATACAGTGACATTGCAAGCAAGCTCGTCAGAATAGTGATGTTGGAAGTTGTATCTCCCAAAAGATTAAGCTACATATAAAGCACATGGATCTGGGGCCTAGGAAAGAAATGAAGCACTCATATATATTACAAGAATGCACGAAGATCTATAGCTACAAGTATTCTCTCTCAGCCAGACAGCCACGCACAGAGATATGTATAGGGATGTACAAAGACAAGACGCCATCAACGATTGGCACATCCTATTCTCATCCATTCATCAACGAGACCGCTCTATCAGAAGGCCGATCTCATGGCACCGCGTGCTGCCTCTTGCCTCATCTGCGCAGCCTTTCCACTTCCACGGAAGTACATGTATACTTGCTGCATTCCAAGTGACCAAGTTCAGAAATCAGAATGATAATCTCTCTCTGAGAAGGAAACAGAAGGCACGGCAAAAGGTTATGCATAAACGCACCTGGATCACCACAATGCTGAGCAGTGCTTCAAGGCAGAACAGTCCGAATCCAACAAAATAAAATATCTGCCAGGAGAAAATGTAGAGACAACGTAAATGACTAGTCATCTACAGGGGAGACGCGGGTCTGGATGATGCTTCATCGAACACCCAGAAAAGCAGCCATGCCAAATTAACTCGATAGGCAGAAATACTTACCCCCACAATAACATTACTGCCTATGACGTCAATTGCAGGCAAAAACCCACTGTAACACCAGAAACAATAAGACAGGCAAAGTTAGATAATCTGAATGAGTTGATACCGACCTATCTATGATTTGAAAGGAGAGTGGATAGTCTGAAAGAGAGTTGCTAGGTATTCTTAACATAAACAGTTTATAGCAGCAACCGAATTGATCCAGGCAATACTACCCTAAAAAATAGCAACACCACCTAATCAGTGCTGGAAGTGCTATACGTGACAATGTACTGGGTAGGTGGCGTTGCTATTCTTTAGGGTAGTATTACCCGGATCAATTTGGTTGTGTACCGACTGTCAATCGAAATCTTTGGTAGAGGCTGATCCCACACACTAAGTAATCTCTCTCAGTTTAGTAATTAGTAGGGTGTGTACCCTTAGTCGGCACATCCAGCATACAGATGTGACAAAGGAGCCACAATGGCTTTGGTGGTGGTGCCTTTTTATCAGTTAATATTTGTGTATGGTAAAGATACTGAAGAATAACAACACACAAAATTCATTGAAGATGCATTCAGTGTGTCCAAACTTTGCGGCTTAGCCACAGTGAATAACTACCATATTTATGCATGGCACAAACAGAAGTAATTTTAATATACATAAGTGATGTAACACTTACGCGATAGATTTTCCTTTGAAAGGAAATGGGGGAGACACAGCTGACCAGATGCAGAATATTATATGGATCTGGAAGGGGCAATGATCATTAGCAATGAATGGAATATTAGCTCGTCGCGAAAACAAGAATCAAATATCAGCAACAAATGCATCAAAAAAGTGGAAACCATTTAGTCTAGAAGAGTAATACTATATGGCAAGGTTGTTACCAAGTACAGCAGAAAAAACCATCCAAACTTCAGAGCGCTTTCAGTCCTGTAACATGAATTTCGGTGGCATAAGGTGTAAAGACATACAAAGAAGCGACTTGTAAAAATAGCAAAATAATAAGCATGTACACAAACCTCATTGCATTATAAAGCGGCCGATACCATAACACATACGCCCCAGGGACACCAGAGATGAAGTAGATGATTGCTAGCAACCAGATGACAACACCTATCGAAAGGAGCAGCCAGATTTGTTTCAGGTGCCAGGGCAGATAGCAGTTGATCCACAAGATGTAGACAGTAAGGTACTACTAAGCCATACCTGCCCCTTTAATCCATGCTGCGGTAGTTGCAATGATGTTCCAAAAGAGGCATAACGTCAATCCTGCATGGCATCAAAATTGGCAGAAATCAGCAATCTGTGCCAATGCATCCCAATCTTAGACTTGAATCTCCTAATTCTAATATCTGCTGCTCATCTGGGGCCACCATTATTTGATTACTAGCATTTATTGGACATTCTTTCATGACAATTGGAAGTTTAGGCCCAACCCAAAAGAAGAGAAAGCACCAAATTCTTATGCTTTAGTAATAAGATTTAGATTAGAAGAATTATATTTTCGTAAGAATTCATAGTTACAAAGTACAGATTGTCAACATAAGGGAAGTTTGTTGAATTTTTGAAATACCAATCTTGTTTTCTCATGCCACTTCTCAGAAGACAATGGCATGTTCACACCCTAGGAGATGATATGGAAATCGCATTGATCCAGGTGAAGTGCATTAGTTGGACAGTGTGAATGTGAAAGCAAGGTCCTCAGTAAAAATAGTGTTTGCGATATTCGAACAAAAGTAAAGATCTAGAAAATGATGGTTTAGAAGATATTTTGAGGAGAGGTAAAACAAGAACTAACACTTACCCAACAATGAACAAAATGCAAGGTACTGCATCCTTTGTAGGTGGATTGGTATCTCATTTGAAATGTCATGATGAATGATGGGCATAAATGGTGGCCAGTTTTTGGTTTCAATGACAATACCAGCTGCAAACGAAAAGGAAGATAGTATGACGTTGAGAGGCAGGGTAGTGAAATATTGGACTGTAACAACAACAGCAGAATGAAAAAATTACTCCCACCGTCCCATAATATAAGATGTTTATGGAAGCTAAACTAGCTTGCAAAAACGTCTTATATTGTGAGGTAGAGGGAGTAGCTCAATAGCCTTTCACTGAATCATTCAAGGTCTTAACTGAAGTTGACCGGAACAAGTTTCCAGATAAATATCCCCATTAATCAACTTGGGCCAATATCTTATCTACCTCTTCCCATCAATATCATGGCTAGAAATATAAAAAAAAAATGCATCAGCTATAGGAAGAACTATACCTCTAGCTGCAGCTTCTTCCCTTCTTTTAAGTTCCTGGTTTCAAAAAAATATAAATATCAGATGGAACAGTTAAAGAAAGAATTACAAGTGAATGCTCATGAGCACATCTGGGCTGTTTCAATCATGTGAAACGTTGTCGATAAAGGTTTTGCTGATTACGTAGAACCACTGCTAACTCTTGATTCAGCATATTGTACATTCATAAGAATTTTATCATCTGATTGTCTGGGTTAACGAAGAGATGATGGCTATATGAAATCTTTTGATAACAATAGGCAATTTCCACAAGCACAACCACCCTTCACCTCATAGGGCTATAAGCGTCGGCATGGTTTTAGCTCACTATGGCATGAGGCAAGTACTGTCAACGATCTGATCAATAGTTAGAGCAGTAAGGACTATAGGGGAGCCTGAGGTAAATCTATGTCAACCATAGCTCACCAGTTTCCATGCTGCATCATGGTTACTACTTCAACAACTCTGGACAAGGCCATATAAACTTTGTTGGCTATATCCGTCTACATATCTAAGCAGTTTGTCAGTATCCAGGAAGCTTCACAAAACTTCATCCAGGGGAACTTAAGGTTTTACTTTAGCATAGGGGATTTTGATCACTGAATGAATTACGAAACAACTTCTGAATTCACAAAACAATGGTTTGAACAAATCAATAACTCAAATGACATATAGGATAACAAGTGATGCGAGTGTAAAGCTGGAATTTCAAGTTTCAAGCAAAAGACACATACTCTTTCCCGTTTGTTAAGCTCAGCCTCCTTCGACTGCAGTTCTTTCTCCTTTTGCTTCAAGTCCTACATTTGAAAATAACATACGCACCGCATAAGCAATCAACGACATGCTGTGAAAGAATTCTGTAATCAATTTCGAAATCAACACTATCTTGACAAAGAATAGTGAGAACATTCATCACTGGTCAATAGTCAATTGCATTCTGCCTGGCCTTTCAATTCATTGGGCAAAGCACATCTTGCTAAGTAAGTAAAGAATTGACATGCTCAATTGAAGCACAGGCACCTTCGATGAACCAAGAGGTATGTCCACGGTAGCAGCACGATCATTATAGAATCCAGCAGGCTCGTGAGGAAGAGGTGGCATCCGAGAATTAGAAGCCGGAGGTACACCTCCTCCCTGCAGAACATCATACATTCGGAAAATCAGCCAAACGATTGTTGAAAGAAAAAACAACCAGTTTATATATAAGCTTATGCACAATCAGGACAATGAAAGTTAGCACGGCAATCCGAATTGCTACTGTAGATAAGGATTATTGTCTTATTAAAATGGGACACATTCAGTGGCAGCAGATCCATAGACACACGCCAAACTGCGACTACCACTGGTCACACTGAACGCCAGTACTAAAACAATCTTCAGCCAGCAAGAAGGTAGTACGAGGTATTTTCCATTTTGTCGTTTGCGGCATATAGTTTGGAAGAGCAAATCGCCTACTTCCAAAGTTTTGCCATCTAGTAAACCGCATCGTTGTAATTAGACAAAATTTATTCCAGTTCATTTCTACCCTGAAAAAACCCAAAACGAACACGGAAGAAACCGGCACCCGCCGCCCCTTTCGCTCGCGATCGGCAACACAACAGGACACGCATATAAACGCATCCATCCATCGAATCCCTCTCTAGCCCTGAAGGCAGTGATTCGACCAGATCCACCGGAGCACCCAGAACGGCGAAACGAGGGGGTTATAAGCAGAAACCCGCAAGAAGCAACTCCGACGGCGATCCGGACCAAATTCGACATCTGCGCGACCCAGGGAACAGAAGACAAGGCGGACCGCGGCGCGGGAGGAGGCGCGGTGCGGGGTAGCACGGCGAGGCGGGTAGAAAGAAGAAACGGAGTAGGCGACTCACCGCGAAGGGGTTGACGTCATCCTCGTCGAAGGGGTTGCGGTCGTACCTCCCCGCCATGGCCTCCTCCTTCCCTGGTGGTACTACCCTCCTCCTCCGGAGGCGGCTGCGGCGGTTGCGGCTGTGGTCGCGGCGGTTTCTCCGGCGAGGGAAAAGTCCAACGCGGCGGTGGCGAGCGAGCGAGCGAGCGACCAACTGCTTTGGACTTCCGCTTTTCGACAGACGGGGGGTTATTTACGTGACGCGGTGGGTTTGGAATGTGGATTTGTTGAGGGGGGTTTATTTTATACTCCGGCCCTCCTGCCGCCGTGCAAACCTGACTGCCGATGGTTTAGCGCGTACGGGTTCAGTGGCCGACAGGTGGGCCCAGGCGGGCAAGCAGGACTAGAAGGAAGTGGAAGACAGATTTGTTCTGACATAGCATTCAGGGACAAAAGGGCGCATTAGATGGGGCCTAACCCAACCTTGCAACTGCAGCCTAACCTGGAAATGCCATCAACAAAGGACAGAAATGTTATGCGTCCATAAATGTTTTGATTTATGGTGATTATTTTTTATGGTGCACACTAGATCTGTGATTACTTTTTACACTGAGTTTTTTTTTTTGAATTACACTGACTTGTTGATAGTCAACAACTTATTACACAGAATCCCATTTTCTTAGAGCTGAGTTGAAGGAAGGAGGGAGGAAAACAGCAGCCAGCTGGTGGTAGACTTCACAATGTTGTTTCCTTAGCAGCCATGTATGAGTTCACATTTTTAGGACAATATTCAAACGAGCAGTCCTAGGCAACCAGCTGCTAAACAAAGGAATGGTCAAACGGCCGTACCGTACCAACCTCTGGAGGAGAGATGGTTGTCTTCAATACTTCTACCACACGGCTAATGGTGGAGCGAACCAACACCACAGAAAACGAAGACCAGACCGAACACAGGACTAAACTAGCAGGCGTGTTTCCCATTCATTCATTCATCTCCACTCCCTCCGTCGTCCGTCCGGGGCTGTCCATGCAGTAAAATGGGGGCTAATTACAGACTGATGAACAGCCAAGCTCTCTCGCTCGCTCACATGTACAACAGGGAACAACAAGCAATTACACCACGACCACAGCCAACAGGCTACCCCGCCACCATATGGCGCTTCCGTTTCCTGTAACAAAAAGAATGGTATCTACTCTGACAGTGAGCTTGAGCTTCCGGCTGGTTTCAGAAGACCACCAGGTCTTGCAAGGACATGTTCAGCTCTTGAGCAAGTTGCGCCGACTGGCCGCTCCGCCTGCGCCAGCCAACAAGAACAAGAGAAGAAGAAAAATTGCAGAGCGTCAGATACGCTTGTTGCTCATCGTGAGGGAGTAAATGAACGTGCATGAAAACAACTACTAGCAGAGTGGTGAAAGGAGGGAAGGGATTATTACATCATCAATGGTTGTAGAGCTTGCACAATCTTTTGCAAATGGTTGAAACACCGGGTGCAACGCTGCAACCTGCATGGGGCATCACACAAATTGGTTACTGCCCTGGTTATATATATCTCTAACGAATATAAAGGCCCCAGATAGGGTAATACGCTACTGATGGCTGCAGTTCATTCATTTAGGACAACAGTTTCGGCAAAACATATGTTCGGGGCCAACTTGCCACCTCGCTCCGAGTTCATTGGTAGGCTTGTAGCAAAACCAGTTTTTGCAGCATCTCTCTTACTCTTTAGCAACACTCAGCTCCCTTCCTCGAGTGAAGTTGGAGAGCATACCTCTGTTCGGCTTGAAGATCTACTCCAACGGGTGAACTAGCTGACAATGTTGAATGAATAACCGGTCCAAAGATCTTTATAAGATCCAATAACATTTCCAAAGCAATGATAGCATGCCTGCAAATTTGAGGCAACAGAATTAGAAGACACAATACTTACTGCCAAACTAACCATGTTCCTACAGCAGGATGCTAATATAAGCATTCATTCACATATTGGAGGATAATTATATATGGGTCTGAAAAACATAAGATGGTCTTCTGTCTCAGTAGTACAGATTTGCAAGAAGATATAGCATTGGCATCCTCTTGGGCATGCATGGGTACATGTGCATCTGTGTTACTATCAGGTGTGCTACCTTTCAGTTTTGCTGTTCAGTAACCCGGCAAGAACAGGCAGGAGGCTCGAGAAAATATCTAGGTTGAAAAGACCAAGTTTTCCCTTGAGAGTACTAACAACATCAGCTTGAACCTGTTCGGATTCAACAATTAGTAGCTAAAAACAATGTGAAGAACATCATATGTACAACCATCATACACCTGAGGAAAACTCACAGCGATATCAGGCAACTTTGCGACCGCAGCAATTGCTCCTTTGATGCCATTTAGGTTAAAGACATGCCGCATCATCTGAACACATTAGGGTTAGTACTAGTATTATATTGGTAACACTTTACAAGAACACACTTAAATTTTAGGTGACTAATCAACATCACTTTACAAGAACATGTACTCACTCCATAAACAGGCCTACAAGACAGGAAGGATAACAACCTACATTTACCACATGTCATTCGATCATAGACAGATGTTAATGTTAAGCTTTGTACTGAAGAACCTACAGAAAGTTAAGCCAATTTCCCACATCTCCAAGTACATGGATTTCGCCTGATGAGTGTGGGTTCTTCTAGGGTGCATGGCATGTATTTTGATTTTTAGTAACCTGCACTGATATATCAACCTATGTTTCATATTTGTAGGTTCCATATGGGTCATTTCTTAAGTCCCAAGTAAATCAAGCTAAAGTTCATAGAAGAATAACGGAAAACTTGTTGACATCCACAAGCTGCATTAACAAATAAACTTGACACAGTTTGTAAGATTTCCCATCAATTTGTTGGGCGTAAGTTCCTTGGGCTAGTAAGAAACAGAGGTTCGCAAGTAAAGAACAGAAGAATCACCTCTAGCTTTGTCAACCGAGATTTTACAACATTTATAAATTCATCATGGTTCCGCACCAAATCGATTGGAGTCGTCATCTCGTCCACTGTTGGCAAGTCCCTTTCATATGTGCGACTTGCTTCTGCCTGTCAATTACAATCACCGCAAACCAAATAAGTTGAACAGCAAAATGATAAACACTAGAGAACATCAAATGATAAAAAGATAACAATAGTATAGCCATATTTGTTTGACTTGTATTCTGTACAAAGTTTCTGAAAATACTATAGCTGCAGCCTTCCAGCCGCATACTAGCATATTATAACTCCAGAACACATTAAGTCAGTGACTACCCCCATATATCTTATATCTGGTGTATGAACAAATTTCATCATTACTTGTATCTCCAAATGACTAGTAGGGGTTCGGGAATCAGGATTTTACATTATCATAACATACACAGACAAAGTATGAATGAGTTACTAATTGAGAACCAAATAAGATTACAGTAGGGATTCGATACAGTAACTACGTAAGGAGTTCTTAAACATTAAGCATTTCTTAATACCATTATACTGATGATTCTTAAACATTAAGCATTTCTTAATACCACTATACTGATGATTCATAAGAACCATAAAATCATGTTAAAAGTTAACTACAGTAAAAACATGAAAGCATACCGAACTGGTGGGAGGGCTATCAGCTTTCACTGTATGATCACCACAAGAGCCAGTTGGCGATGAACAATCAATGCTAGAGCTCTCTCTCTTTTCAAATCTCTCAACAAGAGACTTAGTTTTTCCTAACGGCACAGCAACTGCAAAAGGAGTTGACAATATCATTAGAAAATTATATTTACGCCAAGTAACCTCAAGCTTGAGTGTGGATACAAGATTGCTCTTGATAACATCATTTAACACACACACACACACACACACACACACCTCCTCTAACATATTTGACCCTGGCTGTTCCTGTCGTCGAGCACGGTGATTCATATGCTGCTGTAAAAAGAGCTATAATGTTAAATTCCCAAAATGAGCAAAAGCGCAGCGCTTGAATGCTTAAGAACAAAGAAAGAGCTATACCCTTGTCATCATTTGACTGCACCGGATGATCAAATGATATTATTCTGTCCATCTTTTCTGCTATTTGTCTAATTTCTCCTTTATTGGTACCGTCAGATTCTTCTTTCTTGTCATTTGGAGTTAGTCCAAAGGAGAACTTTAACCCAGAGAAACCCTCCGAGCAAACATCAGGCTCAGCGAGCATGGATTTTACTGAGCTGACACTATCACTAGTACCGCCACTAGGTAAACGTTTTCTCAAGTGCACTGGACTGTAAAAATCATCTGGGACTGCAGTTCTGCCTCCAATTCCTCTATGAATACTGCCTGCTGATTTGTCCTCCAAAATGTCTCTAGGAACAACAACAGGCACAGAAACAGCCTGTGATGTAGTGTAAATATCTTTTACAGCTACCGACTCTGTAGGCGGAGCTTTTTTAGTGGTTGAAGAATTAATAGTCATCCCTGTACGAGATAATAATTGGATGTCCCGCTGTCCAAAACTGCGTTCTGCTGTTTTTAAATTTGTGGAAGGACTATCGACTGGCTTCATACGTCGTACTGGAGTAGATGGTTTGACAGATGAATCAGGTCTTCGAGGAATGCTGCTGCTCCTATCTTTCTTTATTTTGTCTGTACTTCCTGGAGTTAAATGTAAGGCCCGAACTCTGCTTTCAGCTGACATCAATAAGACATATTATCACTATTCAGTATGGAATACTTAAATAAAGTTAGTCATTTCAGTGGAAACTTAAAAATATATTGATAATTTAAAGCCATACCAATTCCTGACTCCTGGACTTTGTACATATTTTTTGGATGTGATGTTGCTACAGCACGAATGGGCTTTGCAGTGCTACCATTCGGTTTCACAGGATTATCATCCACAGAATCCACAAGCTCAGCAAAAAAAATTGCTTTCGGCAAAACACCAAGAGCATAGGGTTCAATCAGCTGGGTCAAAAGATAAAGGTTAGGACATACAAACAAAGGTACATATTGCATGCAAAGAATGACACTCACTGATATATCAGCAACCCAAACACCAACACGGCGTTCATGGTACGAGCATCCCAACAG